TTTTCAAGTAAGATGTTTATTGATAAGAATAGAAATAGAAATAAAGAAAATAAAAGATATGACAAGAAGAAAGAAAAAAAAAAATAAAGAAATGAAGTATGAAACTAAAAATGTAATACGATAGGCCTGTTTGCCTCTTAAAACTACTAAAAACTGACTTGTCAAATCCTACTTTTTATATGGTCTAAAAGCTATCTATTTATATAAAATACAGTATATAGAAAGATATAACTAATATGTCAAATATGTTCGATATGTCATATATGTCAAATCTATTTAATATATCTTATTTATCGATCATGTCAGATATGTCATATATGTCATATTTGTTAGATTTGTCAGATCTGTCAGATTTGTCAATCATCTGTATCACGTAGGTCCTATCATATTTTATTCGTTCACAGTGTCATATTAACTTTATCTCCAATTTGATAAGAAATTCCAGGCTGATTCTTGTTGTAATATTTCTGCTGCTATTATTATTATTGCATTATATTTTGCTATGTATCTAACCATCATTGTTGCAATTGCGATGAAATTATCTATTGATGCTTTTCTATAGCATTTGATAAATTACTAATAGGAGAAGGTCATTGCAATTATAAATCTATTGGTAGAATTGCTTTTTATTCATATAACAATTCAAATAGCTCAAATTTCATTATCCCTTACTGTGCTATATGATATGCAAAAAATGCTGAAGTTAAATATGTATCCAATTCTTCATGATATTGTTCAGCATACTTTACTAAAATTGTATATAAGGTTCTGTTAAAATACTCTGTCAAGCTATTAGTCTGAGAGTGATATGATAAAGATAATCTATGTTTAGTTTCAACTATGTATAATAATGCGGTGATTAATTCATTTTAGAATGACATTATCTTATCAGTTAATATTTTTTTGGCATTTCATGTTGACAGATGATTTCATTATACAGTCAAACCTTGATATAGCGAACCCTTGATATAGCGAATTTTTAAATCAAATATATTAAAATTACCTTATTATAGTGAACTAGCCAATTAAATTCTTTAAAAAATTCGTTATAAGCTTATAATGAAGTTGATATCCAGATCCTAGAATTCGTTATATCAAGAGTTTACTGTACATAAATTACGTAATAGTTTGGGTAGTATAATCTGATATAATACTAGCTTCAACTCATTTAGTCAAATATTTGGTTGCTACAATAATGTACTGATTTCCTTTAGTAATATGTGAAAGTAGTCCTATATAATCTATTTCTACACAATTGAATAGTTGTTTAACAGGTATAGGATGCAAAGGTTTCTTAGGTTTTGGTCTTTCTTATCATTAATATATATCACATGTTTGTATTCAATTTTCAATAGTTTTATATATTTGGCCAATAATATTGAGAGGCAATCTTATTATACATAATATTCTGTGTTAAATGTTTATCTAAAGGTTTATTATAGATATTATATAGAATACATTTAACTTCATTTGATTTTACTACAAGCAATAGTTGAGAAGAATGTTTATAGTTACGTCTATAAAGTTGTTAATTTTATATGAAGTAATGTTATACTTATTTTTAAATTGCGAGTTGTTGTGAAGAAGTAAGGTTTGAAGAGTATGTAAATTGAGTAAGATATTGAAATAGTTAATGGTAAGTTTCGAATTCCATGTTATTGAGCTGCTAATTATACTACTAGCACTTTTATTTTTACTCTAAAATTTTTAATAATTAATCAGTTTACTATAAGAGAAGTTGAGACAATACGTTAGCGTTTGTGTGTAATTTTCCTTTTTATATTGAATCTAATAAGAGAATTCTATTATGCGAATAATCCATCTCATAAATTTGTGAAGTGGGTCTGGTTTATTAAAAAACTATTATAAGGCTGCATGGTCAATAATTAATTCAAATTGCTGATATAATAAGTAAGATCGAAAATATTCTATTCTCTATACAGCAGCAAGACATTCCAATTCAGTTAGAGAATAGTTTCATTCAGCACCACTTATCCTTCAGCTAGCATAAGATATAACATATTTCTTATTATCATCAGTCAATTATGCTAATACTGCTTATAAGTCTAATATATGATCCATCAGTAAATAGCAAAAACTTTTGCTTAAAATCAGCCCTATAAGAAATTTATATATGGAATTGTATATGGTAATAATACGTTTTAATATTCGTAAAAAATGTATAAAATATACTGAAATTATGTATAATATAT